CTTTGTGGAATTTTTAAAAATTCAGATTTAAAGAAAATTTTTTGAATCGCCAAATAATAAATTGATCTATGTAAAATTTAATTTCTTGTTTTAAGAATTAAGCTAAAGCATAAAAGCAAAAGAAGTTACCAAGGGGAAAAGATTGACAGATTTGACTGGATAAAAGAAATTCGTTAGATGTAAAACAAAAAAACCAACCCATATATTAGAAGTCAAAAATATTTTAACAAATACATAAGTATTTGAAACACCCCAAATCTGAGATGATAAACCTAACCATAGAAATGGTTATTAGCTTTATTAGTATCAGATAAGTGCAGATTAAAATGAGCGCTGCTCTCGCCGATTAGATTCACGAAATCTTGAAGATGCTTGGTGTGACCCGTTGCCGTTGTTAGCGCTAGCACGGGAGGCTGGCTAGACTCATCGTGCTGCCAGGATGGCTGAGTGCTGGGACGCTGGCCCAGCAGCACAGTCTTTAAGCCTTAACAGTTCGTGGTTTAACCTACAGAAGCGGAAGTATACATAAATGTGGGCTGATAGCACTGAAACTACCAGTGTTCCACTGGCTTTGACCTCTCATGAAGGTCAGCCTGAGAGATGTGAAAATTAGAGTATGGCAAAGGTGGCATAACAGACCAGTGAGGAACAGATGGGGGAGGTGGGTGGTCTGGGGCCAGCTGGGCAGCCAGCCGGTAGGTGACGGAGAGTGGATTCCTGCCTGCGCAGTTCTTGGACCAGACCGCACATGAAAGGTACAGATGTGCACCATTGAAACAGTAAACTACTAGAGAAGGTGTTCATTTTCTAAAAATTATTATCTTGATTCTAAACCAAAATGCCATAGAAGATCAATACATTATTAAACTGTGTAAGTAATGGCACAAAGTTTTAAAATCAGGAAAAATACTTGTAACGTAGATGACTAGTTTCCCTAATACTTGCACTGTTCACTAAGAAAATAACAAGGAATTCTGTAGAAAAATGATAAAAGTTGAGATTAGTAAACTCATAGAACAATTTAAATGATTAGTTACTAAACATGAAAAGTAGTTCAACTTGACAAATGGAGAGATGCTAATTAAAATAAGACAGCATCATATGTCCACTAGTTCTGTAAGAATGATAAAGACTTGTAAAGAGCCTTCTCATGATACTGTTGGTTATGTGTACAGATGGGTACGGTCTTTGTGACCGGGGCAGTTTGACATCGTCTACCAGACTTTTAAAACCAGCATCTCTCCTCCTGCAAAGTGGGATCATAGTAAAGAAGTATACAGATACATATTTTAAATGATCAGTTTGAAGATTAGCAAGATATATATATATATATATATTTAAAATCTTAAAATGTGCTTGTGCCTTGGCTTAGCAACTCCACCTGTGGGAATTGTCCCTGGGGCGGTGATTGGGTGTGTACATGTGCAGGGGTCATGGTGTGGGTCTCGGCGCTGCTTATAATTAAATAGGGGGAGGCGTTCAAATGATTGATTCAATTTTGAGGTGTGTGTGTATGAAATAGAATAGTGTCTGGTCATAAGTGATGATACAGCTCTTTATTAATAAAAGTTGTTCATATGAAAGAAAAGCAGCATCGTAAGAGTTCATTGTCTTGTAAAAACAAAACTAAAAGAAGTATGTGTCTAGGTAGAAAACTCTGAGAATAAACTGCCACAAAGAATGTACTTAGTGTGTTTTCCAAACATACACTGATAAAAAATAAACTAATAAAGAATAAACTCAAAAATGTTAAGTGGTATCTCTGGGTTGTGAGGTTATAGGCAATTTTTATTTTATATTAATTAATTTTCTAGTTTTTATTTTAAGATCATGGATTATGTGTATGGTTTGTTTTTTTGTTGTTGTTGTTTTTTCCCGGTACCGGGAATCAAACTCACGCCCTTGCACTTGCTAGGCAGGCGCTGTGCCGCTGAGCTAAATCCCCAGCCCCATTTGTGTCGTTTGTAAAAACCCGACCTATATATGTAATGTACTTAACGTAGAATTTTGAATTCAGTTATTTTTTCGTCATTTAGAAAATCTTGCCTTCAGGGGAGCAGTTTAAGAATTCACTTTTTTTTGTGGTTTCAGCTGTCAGTAGACTACTGCCATATTAAAAATGCCATTTTCTTATTTTATAGTGGGAAAGTAAAACTGTCCTGCGCAGTGAGCCCTTGATTTTAGAGGGAGGCTATGAAAACTGGCTCCTTTGCTATCCCCAGTATACAACAAATGCTAAAGTCACTCCACCCCCACGAGGCAAGAATGAAGAGGTGTCTATCTCATGTATGTATGTGGAAATTTTTGTTTAAAATTACATTAGTAAACATAAAATAGATTATTAATGTTTTTAGGGTCATGGTCTTCGTTGCATGTGTGTTTGTCCTGTTTTAAGACAGTCTACGGCCGTACCACCCTGAATGCACCTGATCTCGTCAAAGATAGACATATCCTACAAGACTGTCGAGATTGTCGTATCATTTAGTTTATGTTTAACTCTCACATACAACATGCATGACAAATACAAGTACTGTTTGTGGAGCTTGCTGTTCTTTAAAATAATATTCTTTTGCGGATTTTAGTGGATTTCACTTATCCCTCACTGGAGGAATCAGTTCCTTCCAAGCCTCCTGCTCAGATGCCGCCTCCTTCTCTACAAGTAGATGAAAATTCAGAATTGACAAATGATCAAGGAGAACTGAATGTGTCGATGCCCCCTGAACCAGTTGCTGCTTCCAAAGCTGAAGTTTCACCTGCAATTCAGCCAGTGCCTATTATAAAGAATATTCCGCAGGTATTATCTTGCTTTTCTTTTAATTTTGTTCTCTGTCTTCATACTATATTAAATGTACAGTAGAGAAGTGAAGTTTTATGTATAATCTTAACTTCTCAGGAAAGTATCAATTATAAGAAACTAGTCTTGGTACCTTCATTTTTACAGAATTTTTTGGTTATAGTCTATTAGAATAGATAATTCAAAGGATTTCAAACCTGTCTAGTGACTTTTTACCTAAGCAAGAATCCGTAATAGCTTCTGTTTCTACAGAGAAGTAGAAAAGTTCTTTGGAGTTTCTTTGTTTGCTTGTTTGTATTGTATTTGGCCAGTAGTACAGTTGTCCCTCAAAATCTGTTGGAGACTTGACCCAGAGCTCTCCGAGGATCAGAGCGTCTGTAAATGCCCAAGCCCTGTATGTGAAGTGGTCCTGTATTTGTGCAGAACTGGGTAGGCCCTCCCTTATACTCTCAGTGACCTGTGGGTTAGCTTTAGTACAGTGTGAGCAGTTGTTACACTCTGTTGTGTAGAGAATGATGGTAAGACGAGTCTAAAGTTCAGTGAGGGTGCAATTTTTAAAAATGAAAGAAATCACCAACAAAGTGAAAAGACAACCCGCAGAGTGGGAAAAAATTTTATCCAGTTGTCCCTTAGACAAAAGACTTCCTTCTAGAACATACAAAGAATTGAAAAAATCAGACCCCCCCCAATTCAAAAATCCAATAAAAAAAATGGACATCTGAGATGAATACACACTTCTGAGATGAAATACAAACAGCAAATAAATATATGAAGAAATGTGCAGCATCACTAGTCATTTGAGAGATGCAAATAAAAATAACACTGAGATTGCATCTTACCCCAGAAAGAATGGCTGTCATCAAGAAATCAACGAATAAATGCTAGAGGAGGGGCTGTAGGGATAAAAGGAACCCTTCTCCATTGCTGGTGGGGAGTGCAGACTGGTGCAACCTATGTGGAAATCAGTGTGGAGAGTCTTCAAAATCTAGGATTAGGGGTCCCATTCTACCCAGCTATTCCTTTTCTGGGTATCTCCCAGAAGAATTTAAAACACCATACCACAGCGGTACATGTGCACTCATGTTTATAGCTAAATCAATTTGTCATAGCTAAATCTTGGAAACAGCCCAAATGCCCATCAGCTGAGGAATGGATTAAAAAAGATGTGGTTTTTTTATACAGTGGAGTATTACTCAGCCATAAAGAAGGATAACCTTGAGACTTTTATAGGTAAATGGATGCAACTTGAGACCATACTCATAAGTGAAATAAATCAGACTGATATGTGTAAACATCATATTGTCTCCCTGGTATGAGAAACTGAAAGAGTAAATAAGTTCTAAAATATACAATAGATACTGTAAAATGGGAGAATTTGTTCAGAAGGAAAAAGGAACTAGGATGGGTGAAAGAGGAAAGGACAGGAGGGAAAAGGAAAAAATGCAAAGTCAGTTATGCTGGTAGTATCTCTTCATTCATTAAAAAGGAAGGTTTGTGCTAATATCGATCAGAGTAATTTTTATCTTGTACCATATCTTATACCCTGAGCAGCTACTTTGAAGAGAACATGTTATTCTTCCATTACTTTGTTACAAAAATTTTTTTTACCTTTTTTCCATTAAAAAAATGTTTTTGTTGTGGAACCTGTGGCTGTGGAGGGCCAAATGTATTTTCCCAGATAGGCTGATAAGATAGAAGTGGATTATCAGCATTTTGATTTTAAAACAAATTATTTTAGTTCTGTTTTATTTAAATGTGACATTTTAACAATAATTTATGTAAAACTTTAAAAATAACCAAGGCGTTTGAATAAAAAGCGGCAGCTTCCCGGTGGCGCTGGGGTTAAACGCAGAGCCTGGCGCTGAGTATACCCTCAACCCCTTTTTACTTTTTATTTTCGAGGCAGGGTCTCTCTGTCACTGAGTAGCCTCGCCTGGGGTCAAACCAGCTGTCGTCCTGTCTCAGCCTCTCAGAGTACTGGGATTATAGGTGTGCGTGAGCGTGCCCAGCTTTTATACACAGCTGTTGGTGGGGATGTAAACTAGTACAGCCGCTAAGGACAGTGTCTCATGCAAGTCTGTATCAAGGATCTGCACTGGGAAGGCCCAAAGGTCAGTGGTGGAAGCTAGAAAGTCTGTACCAGCAGGCTGAAGGGTCTGCACTGGAGCCAGGAAGCGATGTTCAAGGTAAGGACCAGAGCTCCCCAAGGAGAACTGCAGCCGTCCTCAGCAATAGCAAGGACCCTGGCCCCTCCGATGATGAGAACAGCTGAGTTCAGGAAAGCCAGCGTGACAAGCTTCTCCCGGAGGATCAACAGCACAGCATCTTCCCTGCAGTTCTCCTTTTTATGTTCTTGGCAACAGTCCTGAGGCGGGGACACCCAAAACCACGCTGGGTCAGTTCATGTGGGTGTTACAAGTTGACCATTAATTAATCCACCACAGAAGAGAACCAGGGGGTGGAGGAGTGGGGGAGGTGCCCGGAACATAAAAATAATTAAGATGTGTTATGTGTCTGCATCACCTCCCCGTGATGAACGTAATCATGTACTGCAAACGCAGGCTGACAAACGAACATGATCACAGCTGCACATTTAGAATCAGGGAATAATAGAGCTGGGCAGGGTGGTGCATGCCTGTAATCCCAACAGTCTTGGAGACTGAGGCAGGGGGATTGCAAAATTCACACCCAGCTTGCAGTTTAGAAAATTAATAAAACTTTGTCTCAAAACTGAAAGAGCTGAGGATGTATTTCAGTGCAAAGGCCCTGGGTGCCTGGTACCACAAAAGGAGAGAGAGACAAAGGATAATAGATTAAGCTATCAAAATGTGAATTCTCAAACATGTAGAAGAGAGTGTAGGTTTTGTTTTTGTTTGTTAAAAAAAAAAAAAACGGGCAGAAAGAAGAAGTGCTAGAAAAGATTTTTTTCTTCACTACTTTCTACTTGTTTTCTAGAAGAAATATGTAAAATTCATTTTATAAGAATGCTGAGTAGTTTGTTACTGGCAAACATTCCTGTGAATTCTCATTTTTGTTTCATTATACTGTATTGCCAAGAAATGATGTCACGTCTCTCGGTGGTGTAGTTACTGTGCTGTTAAAGTGAGGTGAGGCATGTTTAACGCATTTGATGAGGCAGTTAGGTAATTCATGACCTGGCTTGAAGGAAACCAGTTCTCCCTCCCCCTGCCTCTCCCTCCCCTCCCTCTCCCTCCCCCTGCCTGTCCCTCTCTCTCCCTCTCTCCAACATCCCCATCCCTTTTTTTTGAGGTGGGGTCTCATTAATTTGCTAAATTGTACAGGCTGAGCTTGAGCTTAGGATCCTTTTGCCCTGGCCTCCTAGAATGCTAGGTTAGAAGGAGGGCAACAGACAAGGTGGGTGAGTGGTTGGCAGCCGTCTGTAGTCCTGGTGTGAGGGGAGCTCCGCGAGGCCTGGGCTGGTGGGAGCAGATATGGAAGTAGCAGGAGGAGAAGTATCGCACCGCAGAAGGGCACAGAACATGAGGGGGAACTCAGTTTGGGGTTTGTACAGCCTCTTGGAGAAGGGATGTTCCCGTGAAATAAGGCCATGTTTGTGAGGAGTCATGAGTTCCATGTTGGCTGTCTTGGGTTGAAGATACAGTTCTGGAGCTAGTGAGTAGGCAGGTGGATATGTGGAAATAGGACTTGACCTAGGTGTGCGGCGCTAGAGTTCATGTCTCTGCACAAGCACATTAATAAATTCCCTGTACAGAACCCGTCTGGGTGAGCGGAAAATGTCGAACTGAGTCTCCCATTCCAGTCTGGCCATATGAGGAAGCTGGCATTGAGTGGTTTACAAGTAGATGTTCAGGTTGATGCTGCCTCTGTGAAGAGACAGTTCTTGTATCGCAGCTTGGTTTCGGAACCACGGTAATACATTTTGCTGTTTTTGTTTCTGTAGATTGATCGTACTAAAAAACCACCCGTCAGATTGCCTGAAGATCATAGAGTAAAATTGGAGAGTACAGACCACGAGCAGCAGCCTGCTCAGAATGCAAAAGCCGTCCCCGACCGCTCCACCAAGCCAGCGTTTCCCTCTGCGGCTGCCGTGTTAACAGATGAAGAAAAAGCACAGATTCATGCAGAAGCCGCCCTGCTCATGGAGAAAAGCAAGCAAGAAAAAGAACTTCGGGAAAGGCAGCAGGAGGAGCAGAAGGAGAAGCTGAGGAGGGAAGAACAAGAACAAAAAGCCAGAAAAAAACAAGAAGCTGAAGAAAATGAAATCCCAGAAAATCAACAGAAAGCAAAAGAAGAAATGGAGAAGAGAGAAAGTGAACAAGCCAAGAAGGAAGATAAAGAAACCTCAGCAAAGAGAGGCAAAGAAACAACCGGATTAAAAAGACAGAGTAAAAGTGAACATGAAACTTCTGACGCCAAGAAGTCTGTGGACGACAGGGGGAAGAGGTGTCCAACTCCAGAAGTGCAGAGAAAGCCCGTGGGCGACGTCCCTGCTCCTGTGCCGGGAGACGCCAGCGCAGGCAAGGTGAGCGGAGCAGAGCGGCTCAGGGACGTGTACACAGAAGCGCAGCGCCAGGCCTCCCGCGACCGGCGGGCCTCTGAGTAGATTTCTCTGGGACCTCGATTGTCCTGTTCTGTCCGCATTTGCTCGCCTGCTTTGCTCTGTTTTTGGCAATACTGAGCATTGAATTCAGAGCGTCAGGCTTGCCAGGCAAGCACTGCAGTACTGGGCTCCGTCCCAGCCCCTTTTTAATTTTAGTTTGAGACAGAGTTTCATTAAATTGCCTGGGCTGGCTCAAACTTTGGGTCCTCCTGCCTCAGCCTTCTGAGTAGCTGGGGTTATAGGTGTGCACCGCCATACCCATACCTACTGTACTTTGAGTCCAGTGATGTATTTTAAATGATTAATTGGCAGTGGAATTTGTGTCAGTAAAGTGCAATGCATTCCTGATAACTGAGATAAGTAGCTATAGTCTTCATTTTTATATTCGATGGGTGATCACCGAAAAACAAGAATATAATCTTCCTCTCAGTATGGAGAAGTTAGATGCCAATATTTGTGTGATAAAGTTTGTATCTGCCAGGAATGCATGTGAAATCAGTAGCATTAAGATAGTCCAAATCTAGGCCCGTGGCGCAGGCCTAGACAGGGGGATCACAGGGTGGAGCCCGGCCTGGGCAACTTAGCGAGACCCTGACTGAAACAAAAAATAAAAAGAGCTGTACATGTCACCCAGGGGTGAAGCAGCCCTCAGTTCCACCCCTAGTACCAGCGGGAAGAGCCCAGCCTTAATTTTACATGTAATCGTATTTTGGGTCAGGTCTGTGTTTTCTTTCTAGCTTTACCTACCCAAGTAACACTGGCAAGAACCCAATTAATGTTGCCTTTTTTCTAATCTTGGCTACACATCCAAAATGGATTCCCATAATTTTAGAGGACAGTTTTGTTACTGTTCTTTAATCTAATTATGTGTTTTTCTTTACTATGCAATTAATAGTGACTTCTAGATACTAAATTAGTTTTTTTTAAAGTAGAACAAGTAATATCCCTTTTATGGACATGTAAATTGAAAAACATTTTTTGGTAGTATGAAAATGACCTCTGAAGGAGGCAAAATATTTGGTAACTGCTAGTATAAAAAATAGACCTGCTGTGCAGAAACCTTCTAAACACCCCTTTGGGACTTTAATAGTCATCTCGTTGGTCTTTAATTTAAGAGTGAAGCTCATGCTTAAACGTTGAGTATTTGCTTAAAATCGCATAGGCAACGGGAGTCCAAAGCCACCTAATTTCATTTTGTTTATCACTGACAAACAGTGGTTAGAACTTAAAGCATTCATGCTTTGGATGCCAAATGTCCCCACGATTCTAAGTAACCCTCAGTTAGGACCTAGCTTTGGACTTTCCCTATAACACACGGAAAAAGTTTACATTATATTGCTAGATGTGTATGTACCTTTTAAAAGTAGCAGTCTGTAGTTTATTATAGAATAGATTTTCTTCAAAGTATTGCTAATAAAGTCATCACCATGATCATATTAAAAACAAGATAAAATTAAAGTGAATTATTTTAAAGATCCTGTGATGTATAAGAAGATATAAAAATGGATTTTGCATTGCTTAAGTTTGGTCTACATAAAATTTTATATTCTCTGTAATACTTCAAAGTTTTTGGAGCACAGTCCTTCTCATGGTGATCAAAAGCATAAGGAACTGAAATAAAAGAATAGTTCCCAGTGAAGCCGTGGTAAGTATGTGCTGGTTATCAGCATTCTGTCTTGGGCCTCGTGTCACAAACCAGTGCTTCACAGTCTGCTTTGATTTTTATCACTTTGTTTTTCATTGATTCATCAAAACTTTCTGGCTCTTTCTCCTTAGTGGTAGGTGATTCCAAAGGGGCTCAGAAGTATGTGTTTTGAATTTGATAGTAAAATAGAGTACACTTAATATTTTTTATTTTTTGCCAGATTTAAATTTTTTTATAAGTCTATATCAAATTTCCATAAACACAGATTAACTTTGTGCTTTCTTTGCTGTGCAGGAGCTTTTTAATTTGGTATGATCCCATGTTTTTCTTGGCACTATTTATTGTGCAAGATATATTCATTCTTTTTGACTTGTTGGCTTGTGTCTAGGATATACTTGAGAATTTTGTATAATGCTGGATTGGTGGTCATGGGTTTCCTGAGATGTTCTTTGTCATGGAAATACCTTACTTCTCTTTTAATTTTGGAGGAAAGTTTTACAGGATACGTAAGTGGGGGTTGGAAGTTACATTTCAGAACTTGAAATGCTTCACTTCTGGCCTTTAAGGTTTATATAGAGAAGTCTGCTCTAATTTTAATGTGTTTGCCTCCACACATGATTCATTGCCTTTTCTCACAGCTTTTAAGATTCTGTCTCTGCGATGGACTTCTGGTACTCTGACTATAATGTGGCATGAAGAGCTGCTCTTTTGGTCATGGCTCTTTGGGGTTCCATATGTCTCATTCATCATTATGTTTCTTTTTTTGTTTTGTGGTTTTTTGTTTCTTGTTTTTGGTACCAGGAATCAAACTCAGGATCTTGCATTTGCCAGGCAGGTGCTGTGCCGCTGAGCTATATCCCTGGCTGTTTATTTCTTTACATTTGAGAGTTTCCTGCCATTATTTTTGTGCACAGGTTTTTTTATGACATTTATTGTCTTCTGATTTTTTGATTTATTCTAATTATTCTTAGAGTAAAAAATGGATCTTCTGTGGTATCTAGCAGCTATTGGATCCATTTTTCATGTTCTTTTGTTGCTTTCAAGGTGTTTTTGAGTAGTTGGCCTTTGAAGGCATTGTCTTCTATTTCTGAAGTTCTGTCCTCACATTGGTAGCTTCGTCTGCCCATACTTGCAATATAATTTTCAGTCTTCTGGATTTCTGATTGAAACTTTTTTATTGACTAATTCTTTGCTAAACTGGTCATTCATGTTTTTTAGAGTTTTAAGTCAGTTTTTTATTAGTGTTGTCCGAAAGCTCTTGGATCATTTTGGTTTTTATTTCCATCATCTGTTTAGTTACATCTTCTGTGACCCTGCTTGGTACCTCTTCGATCTGTTTTCTAACCTCTGTTATCCTCTTGAGTCATTCGAGTATGTGGCTTATGCTGTTCTCCTCTCCAGTGCCTCCTGGATTATCTTTGGGGAAGTTAGGAGTTATTCAAGGCGTTCTGGTGCCATGTCTTCTCATTTTTCTGTTTTCTGTTTTGTTTTGTGCTGAGGTTTGTGGACTCTTGCAAAGACATTGCTAGTAGAGAGATCCCTTTAATTACTTTTCAGTGAGGTACTTTCGGTGTGACTGACCGCCTTGGCTAAATTAGGAGGGGAAGATTCAGTGTAATTGGCCCGACACTGAGTTCTCTGGGCATGTATTGGGATTTCTGGTATTGTTCATGTCACAGAGGTCATCTAAGTGTTGCCTTGCTGAGGAAACCCATCAACAGCAACAGTTATGCCACACTGGTAATGTCAGCAAATCAGCTGCAGTGGTACCATCCAAAACAAACTGGATATTAACTATGATAAGAGCCAGTTTTGTATCACCACTAACCCTGGAGGAGAAGTCCACATTTAAGGTATAAACATTAAGACAACTCAGGTAATGACTTACACTTAACAGGTACTAATTGCCACAGCTGTATCTGCTAATGGTAAAAAAGAATTCAGTAATTTTATAGCGTTAACTTCTAAAGACTAATAAGGATTAATGGTTATACTATTAAAGATACAAGAGGTTGGGAACAAGGGAATGAAAGAGGAAAAATTTGACACCTTAAACTGCGTGGTATGAGGAACAGGAGAGAGAAGTAGTGTGGAGGATCCTGGTGGGCGGTGGAAGGATGTTTACAGCAGTAGGTAAAGTTAGGAGAAGAAACGACTGAGGAAGAGAGGGAACAGAGAGGGAAGGGATACCGCGATACTGACTGTCAAGCTCCATTCGATACCTGTTGGAACACTAAAAGGCTTGAGAACTGAACATGTTTTTCCTGTAGCAAATAGTGGGAAACCAAGTACTTGGTTCCAAGGCCCAAAAAATTACTTACAAGTTCATTTTTCCGGGACTCTCATAAATTTTGCACTGATTTCTTTTTTTAATTCTATTGTGGTTCTCAGTTTTCCTCTTAGCTTTATTGCAGGTATCACTAACTTTCTTTGGAGCCATGGCTATGATATTTTACAGAAATAAAGTGACCAGAAAAGCCCCATGACAAAGGTCTAACAAGGTGACACAAGTTGTCCGGGCCAGAGTGATGCCGAGACTGAGGCAGTGCTGCTCGTGTCCACGGTGAGACCCACACGGGCTCACCCTTGGCCCGCACAGCTTTTTCAAGTTGGATTTTCGGCTCCACTGTCGATCAGAGTTAAGAACACCGAGCAGGTGTTTTTGAACTTTGCTGTTCAAGTAGTAGAAAGTTCAAGCTTGGAGCCATTCAGTAACTGAGGTGTCACTACGGGAGGAAAAATTAAGAGGGAAAAGAGGAAAGAAAGAAGGAAAAGAGATCATTCTGCGCTGGGTGTATTCTGAATAATGCTAACATTTCTGTGTGTTTTTGTATGGAAATATGTTATTTCTTTTGAGTGGGCACTTCAAGGTGGAATTGTTTTGCCGTGTTTCGTTTCACTTTTTGGGTTTTTTGCTTTTGTTTTTGTGGTGCTGGGGATCGAACCCAGGGCCTTGTGCATGCAAGGCAAGAGCTCTACCAGTGAGCCCCAGCCCCAGCCCCTGTGTTTTGTTTTAAGAAACTTTTAAAAAACTTGCCAAAATGTTTCCCAGGGTGGCTGCCCCCATTTTGCCTTCCCACTAGCAGCAGAAGGAAAGCGAAGAGGAGGGGAAGGACGGAGAAGGAAAACTGTGAGGCAGAAGATACTTGGAAATCACATTTCCTTCTCTTCCTCCTCCCCTCCCCCTCCTCCTCTTCTGCCCTCCCTCCCTCCTCCCTCCCTTCCTTTTTTCTTCAGCACTAAGCGTTGAACCCAGGGCCTTCGCACTGAGCTACATCCCCATCCTTTTTTATTTGTTTTTATTTTGACACAGGATCTCACTGAGGTTCATAGTCTGGGCTCATATTTGCCATCCTCCTGCTTCAGCCTTCCAGGGTGCTGAGGTTACAGGTGCACACCACCATGCCTGGCTCTCTTTATTTTTAGTGGAGTTTCTCCAAGCACAAATGTCTTTTGGGGCAAGTCCGATCTGCCAATTTTTCTCATTTGACTCATGTTTTTGGTATTTATCTAAGGGACTTTTTGTCTAACCCAAAGTCATAAACTAATGAAAAATGTTTTTTTCTTAGAATCTTACAGTGTTAGTTCTTACAGTTAGATCTGTGTCCGCTCTGACTTAATTTTTGCGCAGTGTAGCCTCCCCTTGGTTGTACTTTCTCTTTTCCTTGGCTTCAGCTACTCTGGTTCAACCATGTTCTGAAAGTGTGAGATGGAAGTTCACAGAAACCAACACCTCATACATTGTAGATAACTTCTGTAGTAGCATATTGCTGTAATTGTTCCTTTTTCTCTTGGTTGTTAATGTCTTACTGTGCCCAATTCGAGTCACACACGGCTCTGTCATAGACGTGTCTGGGTAGGAGGAAATGCAGTGTGTAAGAAACGCGCAGCACCCTCTGGGCTTCAGGCACCCCCGGAAGTCCCAGAACACTCTCCCTGGCTGGGAGAGGCCACCAGCCCTCGGAGAAGGAAGGATCTAGATGTCTTTTTGCATGCAGCTATTCATTTATCCTACTTGCCTTGGGCTGATTATTTTTTCAAGCATGCAAATTCTGTTACATGTTTATGTTCAAAGGAATTCTATTTTAAGACAAGAAGAATATGAAGATAGAAACTGGTGGACTTTTTCTTTTCTGTTAGTAATAATTTTTCATTTAAAGAAGCGGAAGTACCATTGTCGAGTTTGGAAGTTGGTGCCTCCGTGTATCGGCTGCATTTACTTGCACAACGCCTCGTCAGTGTTTTGTGGAAAGAATACGTATAGAAGACCCGCAGGGGAGCAAAATGACAGCGTAGTCCGTGATACGCTGCGTGGCCTTGCTTGTTCGTGTGGGTCCCGCGTTGAGCTCTTCACGAGCCACAGTGGAAGGGCATCTCCTTCTGCCTTGTCTCTGCCATTGTTAAGTCCAACCCACACATCCTGTCTGTCACTCCAAACTCGGAAGGTGCCCCAGTTAAAAGGCCATTAGGGGCCTTAGGAACTGCAGCTCAGGAAAGCGAGGTTCGATAGCTCAGAGCCGGCGTTGCAGAGGGAGGGGAGGTGCTCCTGTGCTCCCGCTGTGGCCTTGGTGCAGGTGGGGTGTGACCCTGGAAGAGACGGGAAGGAGGGTGGACCCGGGGGCACGCTCCCACACAGCAAGCGTCACCCCCCTCTCGGCGCACACCCGAGTCTTCGGGACGCCCACTGGCGGGAGTGACCCAGGCTCATGTCCCAGGCAGCGGCTCTGGTCGCTAAGTCCTGCTTCCAGCTGGCCTTCAGATGCCATTGTAAACGCTCTTGTTTTAAAACCTCCTGGAACGTTTTCAGCATAGTTTTCCTTTTATTTTCACACCCCTCTTCCTCTGAGTGTAGTAATATTTAGAACTTGTGAAAAATGGATTTTTTTTTTTATCTTTGAACCTGTTTTTAAAACATGTCAGCCAAGGCAAGGTTCTTCTTTGGCACAAGTACCTAAGTTTGTAAATGGCAAATTTTAATTGAAAAATTGGACTCTTTTCTCCCCCACGCAGGCTCAGCGGGAGCCTTTGACGAGAGCACGGAGTGAAGAAATGGGGAGGATCGTCCCGGGCCTGCCTTCTGGCTGGGCCAAGGTAGGAGTCACGCTCGGAACTTGAACTAGGTAACACAGTCACTGTGTCCTTTAGAAAAGAGGCAGTTCTCTTTCTTCAGTGTAAGGGAACATAGCCCTTTCTCCTGATTATTGAGGATTAGATTTCTCAATACCCAGCCTGGGGTTCTGGGGTTCTGGCTGCAGTACGTGGGCATTCTGGCAATATTTTTTAGTAACAGTATGTATGTGCCAGATATGGTGGCTCACACCAGGAATCCCAGCTGCATAGGAGGCTGAGGCAAGAGGATTGCAAGTTTGAGATGAGCCTGAGCAACTTAGTGAGACCCTGTCTCAGAATAAAAAAGTGGGTATGTAGCTCAGCGGGAAGGCCCTGCATTCAATCCTTACTACCACTAATAATCACAATCATAATGCATTACTCTAAAACCTAAGTTTCGTTGGAAGTTTAATGAAAGAACTGATTATTACCATTTTATTGAAATTATTTTAGGGACTGGCAGTGTAACTCAAGGGTGGAGTGCATACTTTTTAATCCACAAATAAATGTGGCTGGACTACTATGGAATAAATTGTTTCAATGTAATGGTCATTTTGGGTTTTTTTGTTTGTTTTTTGTTTTTTTGAGAGACAGGGTCACTATGCAGTTTGGGCTGGCCTTGAGCTCACTTTGTAGCCTAGGCTGGTCTCAAATTTACAACGATACTCCTGCCCGATCCTCCTGCCCCAGCCTCCCAAATGCTGGGATTACAGGTGTGCGCCACCACGCCTGGCTCATTTTTAGTTTTTGACCGTTCTTAATTTTTCCTTTTCCATCTAAGTTTCTGGACCCGATCACTGGAACCTTCCGTTATTACCACTCACCCACCAACACTGTCCATATGTACCCACCAGAAATGGCTCCTTCCTCTGCTCCTCCTTCCACGCCCCCGACTCACAAAGCCAAGCCCCAGGTTCCTGCCGAGAGGGACAGGGAGCCGTCCAAACTGAAGCGCTCCTACTCCTCCCCAGACATCGCCCAGGCCGTGCAAGAGGAGGAGAGGAGGAGGCCCACAATGACACCAGCTGTGAATCGGGAGAACAAGTAAGTTTGTCCTGACCCTAGAGCTTGAATCTCACAGGTACTGTGTTTAAATACTCTTGCTCTAAATAGATCACCATACTAATGTTAGAGTTTGAAATCATTTTGGATGGCCGTTCCAGCCACGTTATTTACCATGGAGAAAAGGGAAATGAAACTATCCCTGGTTTTTCTCCCACGTGATAACTTAGTACTCAGGCGAGGTGTTACATAAGTGATAAGAATAAAAGCATTACGCACTGGGCTACATTGCACAGCACCTGTGCCGTGGGGACCTCCGCGTTTTCCTTAGCCTTCCTGTGATTCCTGTGGGGCCCCTACCTTCGGGCAGTATGGAGTCTGAATTGCCGCAGCCCTCAGGTTCCAGTCAGTGAGAGTCAGGCTGTCCTGTGGTACTGAAGTAACAAGCGCCAGTGCGTCTGCTCTGCCCTCCTGCTCCTTCCCGCGCTGTGCTGCGCTCTGCTCGCAGGTGGTGAGTGGCGTCCACTTCAGTTTCCCACAGTACTGTCTCATCTCGATGTCTTCGGGGTTCTGCCCTTTCTGAGTCTAATGCTCCTGGCTTACACAGGTAGGGTATGAGGAGATGGTTTTTAAGTCTGCCTACCGCTTCTGATCTCTACATTTTGGGAGGAGGAAGGCAGGAGATGGAAACGCAGTTGGCCCGCCCTAGCCATGGGTTCTGCATCAAGGGCATCAACCAGCCGTGGATTGAAATTACTTGTTAAGATTCTTGGCCAAGAGTAAGTCTCCTTTGCTGGAAAACAGAAAGCAAGGGAAAGAAAGAAAGAGAGAGAGAGGGAGGGAAGGAAGGAAGGAAGGAAGGAAGGAAGGAAGGAAGGAAGGAAAAGAAAGAGAAAGAGAAAGAAAGAAAAAAGGAAGGGAGGAAAAGTCGGTACTGCACCGCTGCAGCCGTTTTTGGTCAGGCAGCGTTTCTTCCACAGCACAGCGACCCACCTGTGGGCAGCGTGGCTGTCGACTTTAAGTAGTAGCACTCCAGATACCCTTTGATATCTGCTCTCCATTGATAGATACTGATTTTGTGGCATTCTGGTTGAGTTCAAATATTTAAAACTGCTAACCTCCCTGGGATCATTTGAAAGACACAGAGAGCCTCTGTCCTCCAGCTCTTATTTCACAGCAAACTAGAGAATCTGTCAGGCCCTTTCTAGACCCAGGAACCCACCTAAGAGGTTAAGACGGTGGGTTCAGGACACAAGCAGGTCTGGCCTGGTTACTGAGGGCCCTGTGAGGCCCGGCATCTTGGGCACTGACACACTCACTGGGCAGGGGTGACTGGTGCTGAGCTGCTGCCCTGTGCAGGGTGGGCCTCAGTTCAGGTGTGTGCCTCTCACCGCGTCCTGTATCTCTGTGCTCAGGCCGACGTGCTACCCCAAAGCCGAGATCTCAAGGCTGTCCGCCTCTCAGATTCGCAACCTCAATCCTGTCTTTGGAGGCTCTGGACCAGCCCTCACCGGACTCCGGAACCTAGGAAATACGTGCTACATGAACTCGATCCTGCAGTGCCTGTGCAATGCCCCACATCTGGCTGACTATTTCAACCGGAACTGTTATCAGGATGATATTAACAGGCAAGTAAGCCTCTGTCCTTTGCAATACATGGTTGAAAGGACAGCCCAGCATACTTCCTGTCTTAGTCCCTTTTGTGCTGCTCAACAAAGTACCCGAGACTGGCTCATTATAAAGAAGAGAAGTGTACTCTGGGTATTTCTGGAGACAGTGAAGTCCAAGACACAGATGCTGCCTTGCGGTCCTGGCCTCTGGCTGTGCCGTCACTTAGCAGAGGTGAAGGGTAAGAGAAGACGAGCTGCTTTGTCGTGCCGTCTTCTAAGTGCACCAAGCTCATTCTTCAGAGAGAAGCCCTGCGACCTCATCACTCTCAAGGTCCCGTCTCTGTATTTTTTATTTTTTTGGCAGCACTGGGCATTGAACTCAGGGCCTGGCGTATGCTAAGCAAGTGCTTTGTCACGTAGCTACGTCCTCATCCTGTTTTAGTTTTGTTTTGACACTGACCTTGAACTTGGAATCCTTCTGCCTCAGCCTCCCCAGTAGTGGTATTAGAGCAGAAGGCCCTACCTCTGAACATTGTCATACTGGCAACACCTAAATTTTTGAGAGGATATGTTCCAACCATAACCCCTACCACTCAGCTCTGAAGACGTTAATTAAGAAAAGAGAAAATGTATTTCTTCACAAGAAAAATATAGAGGAAAACCAGCTCTGAAAGACAAGTAGAAAAGAGCAGTACCAGAAGGCAGAAACGCAGCATCATAAAACTGCAGCATGTTGCTCCATGGGGCAGCAGAGCCTGCAGCAGGAATACTCCAGGTTGGAAAACTAAGCAGAGTAAGGTCCAGAAGAGTATCTGGTGGTATACCTGCAGGTATTTTCATGGAGGGCTATCGTGTGTGAATGCTTTACTGCTGACATCAAGGACCCACTGTACTTTATACAATTTTCCTTTATTGCTTTTTTGGTGACTTGAATTTTATTTGCACAGGTCAAATTTGTTGGGGCATAAAGGAGAAGTGGCAGAGGAGTTTGGCATAATCATGAAAGCACTATGGACAGGACAGTATAGGTACATCAGCCCCAAAGACTTTAAAATCACCATCGGGAAGATCAATGACCAGTTCGCAGGATACAGCCAGCAAGATTCACAGGAACTGCTTCTCTTCCTCATGGACGGTCTCCATGAAGACCTAAATAAAGTAAGAGGTTTGCTGTTTCTCAGTTTCCAGGCCCCTTAGGGTTGCTCAGTAGCGCTGCCATCATCTTCACAGCAATTTAAATTCTGGTTGGTGAGTGTTCAGCAGTAGTTTACTCAGATGCAGTACACTGTACTGGATACAGCATATCTGATAAGGGAGAAGTTACCTGAAATGTTTCAGGCATGCTTTGGATTCTGGGTTTTTTTTTTTTTTTTTGGATTTTGGAATATTTACATATATGTGATGAGATACCTTGGGGGTAGGATCCCAATATAAACACAGAATTCATTTATGTTTCATATATATCTTAAACACATAGCCTAGTTTTACATAATGTTTTTAAATAATTCTGTACATGAAACAGTTTCATAGTGTGTAATTTTCCACTTGTAGCAGCATGTTTGTGCTCAGAACGTTTTTTATTTTGGAGCATTGTGGATTTTGAGATTAAAGATGTTGGGTGTGTATTTGAAAAGTGGTACATGTAGTTATTACGTAACAGTTAACAGGTCATATTGCTGAGCCATTTGCAAATGGTAAAATAGTTACTAGTGATGTTCCCACATGAAATAAAGTCATAAATGTGGTTCTATAAAAGATAGCCTGAATATCTTTATTATGTATTTATTTTATTGCGTCTTTATGTACTTATTTTATAGTTTGTATATATAACTTTATACTATGTTTTATACTTATTTTCTAAAGTAAGTATTATCCCATGTGACCAGGTGATTCACATGGTGGTTTTTATAGAGACATGTATCTCTCTGTAAATTTTTATATGACAGCTACTTTTCAGCACACCATGTTATCATCTTTTTTGAGATACCTCTGGGATCACCAATGATTGTGATTGTGTGTGTGTGTGTGTAACCATATGTAGGTGGCTGTATTTCTGTCTTCATTTATGAGGCTCAGACAATGAAATTACATCTGTCTAGTTGCTGCCCTAATTCTCAGCTCTATCTGGGATGTCTTCTTTTTTCAAAACCAGACCTTTTAGCTTTTTGAATAAAAAATATATTAAATTCCAACAGGTTACATCCTTTGAATAAAGTGGTATTTTTGTGTTTGGCTAGAACTATTTTTTGTAGCACTTAATATGATAAGATTTCCTTTATGAATACTACAAGTGTTTTCAAGTCTGGAAAGTATTTGACCCTTTGAATTGTATATCTTTTTCCAGGCTGATAACCGGAAGAGACATAAAGAAGAAAACAATGATCATCTTGATGACTTCAAAGCTGCAGAACATGCTTGGCAGAAACATAAGCAGCTCAACGAATCTATCATCGTGGCACTTTTTCAGGGTCAGTTCAAATCTACAGTGCAGTGCCTCACCTGTCACAAAAAATCCAGGACGTTTGAGGCCTTCATGTATTTGTCCCTGCCACTGGCGTCCACAAGTAAATGCACGTTGCAGGTGAGTTGGAGGAGGCGAGAGAGACTAGGCGGGTCGAATGCTGCTTGGATGCACGTACAGACGTACTCTGTCCAGCAGTTCATTTCCAGGCGTTACCCGTGAGCACTTGATAGAAAGATTCCTTTTAAAAAGGGTTCCTTTGCTAAAGGTTCTTCCGATTACATATTCTTTCAGAGTTGGTAATATACTTCTAAAAGGTGCAGTCTCCCTTCCCCCTCTCCCGCCTCCTGTTCCCTAGTGCTGGGGATCGAACCCAGTGCTCTGTGCATGTTAGGCAAATACTCTGCCACTGAGCTGCATCCCCATCCCATAAAAGTCTGTATTTTTAATTAGTTGTGAAAGTTAATTTGGAAAATTCTATGTTGACTTTAACTTAGGTCTACTTTTTACACATGCGTGTTTTAGGTGAGCATGTACCTTAGTTGGCACACAGCTCCTTGTGCATTTGCACACAGGCTCTTTGGTGCATTTAGACTTGCCTCCTGCAGCGCATCCTTTCTTATCTTCCCTGGCCTGCCAGGCGCAGTGTGGGAGTCTCCCGCGCACTGTCCTGGCCCACAGCCCCCACCCCACCCCCGCCCCCATAGGTAGCCCTCCCCACGGCCTTCACTGGGCTGCGTTTCTCATGGGATCTGGACCCCTGTTTGAACTTACTATCTGTGCAGGGTAGCTTACTGAAGAGGTGCTCTCTGATACTGTGTGAAGAAGTGAGATAGCCTGAATATCTTTATTATGTATTTATTTTATTG